GGGGCGACGACACAAGGAGAATACTTCATCGTTCCACACCCACTGATCATGTGTAAAACCCTTGTGTCGACAATCTCTCTTCATGCGGGTTGCAGGTTTGATTTTGGCTGTCAATCAATCATTCAAAATTCGGTCCGGCGCACAATTCCTGGTTCATCCAGTCGGTCGTGCGTTGGAAAAGCATCATTATGGAACCGAGTTTGACTCGTTCCACAGAGTTCATCATCCAACAGCTTGTTGGCGGATAATTGCAAGTGCATTTTAAAACAATTTGGAAGAAGCTAGGCGGGCATTCTATATCTTCAGAAAGTGCATTTCTATCAGGCATACTGATGCGGCAGTAGAACTAATTCAAGTGAGTTCGACTCAGGATAATGACCGAATCAGTTCGCCCTGTTCTCATATCATTCGCTAGTATACGAAACGGACGATAACAGGATTAAACATTTTGCTTAGTTTAATGGATTGGTTAGGCCAGGCCTCGCTTATGCCACACCACCACAGAAACAACCAGGCTCGATACAGTCATCACTTGATAAATCATGTATTGTTTTATTCCATTAGCCAGGCTCATATAATGTGGTGATCCCAGCCTGCCAGATGACGCATACCGTGGAGCGACAAGTTACAGTTTTCGGACAACTTTGATCAATCAAGCTTCATGGGTGACGTCAGCAAAGCGCGTGCGTGCCACAGCTTCTGGACTGCATACCATAGGTCGATCGTACCGGCCAATCGGAAACCGTGTGGGCCAGACAGCAGCTGAACAGTGCCAGAAATAATAGAACGCGATTGGCAGATGCCCGAATGTCCAATGAGTTTATTTTGTACATATTATTTGACCCTCCTTATTTCTTTCACTAAACGAGCTACTACTCCTGTGGCCTTTCCGTCGCGTCACGGCTAAGTACCAGTGTGGTCCAGTGCTTACGTGATCCAGTTGGAGACTTCTAATCGATGATTCGTATTCCGTGATGCGTGTTTCGTGCTCATCGCGTGCTACTACTACTACTATTACTACAATTACCATGTATGACCTCGTNTGCCGTTTACGCGCAATCCCCCCCCCCACTATTGTTGTTTCATCCTATAGAATGTGACCAAAGTAACCGATCAATCAAGAGGCAGCAATCCCGTAACCCCCCACAGATGATGTTTTGGTAAACGCTAGTCGGTCACAAAGCCAAGACCGTATAACACTTATTGATACAAGGTTGAGTGATGGAGCTAAGGCATCGTCGGCTACCCGATGATTTTTCTGCTGTTTCCGCCTATCAGATTGAAATCAAATGATCTGGCAGACCTGACAGTTACTGGGATGAATAGCGAATTATCAATTATCAAATCAGATGAACTCCGGTAGGTCAAGCCGCTCGAGAATGAAGAAACGAATTATCTGTCAAAAACCAAAGTAACTTGAAGAAGTCTACTGTCCACCTGTCCGCTGTCTGTCTCTACCTAACCATATCTATCTATGCGTATCGTGTAAATCAATGTCTCAAAATCCCACTGTTCTTTTCGAAAATTCACGCGTCTAATAATAATTTAGCTTCACAATGATCATCCAACTCTTCCACCTGGTATCCAACAGCGAAAGAAACATCATTGCTTTGTGATATTATCAACCATCGGTTTCACTACAGTGCTGTCCGAAATGTTGGGTTTTTCTAAAAAGCAACTGTCCAAGGTTCTATTTGTAGAACAATCCACCACCACTACCAACCACTATGCTCTCATGATACTGATTTTACAGTTAATCCTTCACAACCGAAATATTGTACTCAACATAATGCTGAAATGTTTGTAGTCAAGCTCACACACGATCAGTAATTTTAGCACTGAAATTATAGACAAGAGGAACGTTCATTTTCTTTTTGGGATGCGCTAGTAGAAGAGGGAAAATTCAATCGTTCTGTCTACCATAAACTTGGAACAATCAATAGTATTGAGAGCTGGCGCCTAGGAAGCACTGGGGGCGGGGCGGGGCGGGGCGAGGGGGGGGGGAGAATTTGAGAAGATTGAACAATTGTGACCGCATACAGGATAGCCCGAATGATTCACGGCTATAGAAACAATAACTCAGAGAGACCGTCACCATAAGACCTCTACAATGCGACAACAAGATCAGAAACTGTAAGCCACGGGAAGTCAGACGGACAAATACTCGTGAGCAGGCACACACACACACACACACGCACGCACCCACGGACAAGGCCTTCACATCTTTGTACATTGTTTCCGTTGTTTCCACTCTGAGCCCAAAACAGCTTTTTTCCCTAAGTGACGGACCGAAACAGTTTCCCGGAGGATGAATAATTTAAAAACAAGTTTTTTTTCGCAAATAAAAAGAGTGTTCTCTGCCTATCAAAATTTTATATTATCACGGCAACTAACCCTGAATGGCACGCAAACTGCAATCAGTATGAACTTGTGTGAACTCACACTGTCTGTAACCACCATTTTCACATTCGATCGATACAAATACCATTAGGTCGATTATCCAATCATCCAACTTGTGTGATAATCGATCGAGTTGATGGAATGCTGCACACCAAATTACCAAGTGCCAACACACATTTTTTCATAGACAGGTCGGGGGGGGGGGGGGGGGGGNTACAAATTAAGTGTCTTGAATTTTTACGCATACCGACCGATCTATATCATCCAGATTTATTTAGGTTGGAAGAGACACAACTCGGTCAGAAACAAACAAAAACAGACCGAAACAAGGAAACCCGAGGCACAACACACACACACACACTCACTCTCTGGGTCGATCGAACGCGAACCACATGTCGAACAGGACTGATTTGAATTTCTCCTGATCCGGTGAGGTCATATTCAGACTGACGAGAAATTGATGTGTCCTTTTCATCACATTGGTTGCCATGATAGAGTTGAGAAAATCCCAAGTTTCGCTCATTTTTTGCTCTGTGAAATACTCCGGATCTGTCACACGCATATTGTAATTGTCAAGCAAGCGTATAAATTCTGCATGTTGAGAAAAAAAGAAGCGTGGTAATGATAGGAGGCTTTTTGGTTGTAGGCAGCTCTGCTGTTGTCCCGTTCAATAACACGCCTAGCTTATCGGGGCCTTCTGTGTTTCGCCACCCCAAGTCCCTGGGCTTGGGTTGCTCGTCAACATTACTGAATAGCAGGTCCTCGTGACTATGGGGTTCGCCCCGTCAGCTGAACATCACACTCAGGTGTGTACTAAAAAAATTTGCAAATTTCAATTTGGTGCACAAGAGTTGGAACAATTTGTGATGACCGACAAGAAGTTACACTGCGCAGCTGTCTCCTGTCCTGATTTTGGGACTCGTCAGCAGTGCGTACTCTTTTTATGTCTCTGTGTCCGGACTCGAACCGGCGAACATTCGGGTCGGGACTTCAAACCCTCACCCGGGAGCTACGCGGCTGACGGTCATCATCTTTAATGAATGGTTCAAGTAATCAAGAGTCACAAATTTGGACTAATCCACTTGATTGCTCACAGGCACCAGGCACTGCTGATGGTCTTTGGTATGGTTTTTACTTCTTTGGAGGTCGTCAATTCTCCACTAGTTGCCGGCCAGCACACATCTTTCTGTCGCTTATAAATGGATTCAACTAGTTTGGGTGAGTAGACGATCTTTCAACAAGTGAACTCCACTAACAGTGCCTGGTAACTGTGAAAAATCGAATGGAATATTCCCAATTTGTTTGGTATACATTCAAACAAATTAGATCTGGGAGTGGTGGTGGTGGTTGATTAATTTCGATTACATAATTACTGATTTTTCCGCGAACCAAAAGTCGTAATCAAATCAAATTCTCCACCAATTCCTTACATAACGTAGTCCTTTCTTCGAAAGTTTTACGACCAAGTAGCGTACCCGGAAGCTAAGTGAGGTGATATACTCCCAACAGGCATTTTATCCAAACGCTTTCGTCCTATCGCCATCACCTCCTCTGGACGTAAACTTGCAGAGCACGCTATTCTCAACCGCTTGCAATCTGGTACTATTGTTCTCAATGACCCCATCCAGTTTGCGTACAAGCCAAATAGATGCACTTTGGATTTCGTCTCTTCAATGGTGCAATTTATTTGCAAATTTTGAGAGGATTCTCAAAAGTTCATTTGTTGTGTTTTTCTTGGCTATTCTTCCG